TTCGAAATAAGAGATCCAATGTTCAAAACAATTATGAATTTTATCAAAACATTTCAGTTTCTTATAAATCTTGCTCTTAATACTTTTTATCATTTACTTTATTTACACAGCATTACTATTACTTGTCTTAATGAATCGACGAATGTGACATGCAACGAGACAACACAACAAACAGATATAGACTCAGAAGAAGATGATATACCAGAAGAGGTTGTTAAAGAGATTGAGGATTTTGAGAATAGACCAAAGTCTAATTTGGACGAGACTGAGGTTGTTAACCTGAGAGATGCAGAAAGCGTCAAAGAAATGCGTATCAGTGTTCATCTATCACCATCAAAAAAGGAAGAGTACACGGAATTTCTAAGGGAATACGAGGACATATTCGCCTGGTCGTATGACGACATGACTGGTTTGAGTACCTCTATTGTGGCTCACAAACTACCAACTGATCCGACATATCCACCGATAAAGGAGAAGCTTAGGAAGTTCAAGGCTGACATGAGTTTGAAAATCAAAGAAGAAGTCACCAAGCAAGTCAAAGCCAAGGTTCTCAGAGTAGTAGAGTACCCAACATGGTTAGCCAATATTGTTCCGGTACCGAAGAAGGACTGGAAAGTTAGAGTCTGTGTCGACTACCGGGATCTCAACTGGGTCAGTCCAAAAGATGACTTCCCCTTGCCAAACATACACATCTTGATCGATAACTGCGCCAAGCATGAGTTGCAGTCATTCGTCGATTATTTTGCTGGGTATCGTCAGATATGGATGGATGATAAAGACGCAGAGAAAATGGCTTTCATTATACCGTGGCGGATGTATTATTACAAGATGATGCCATTTGGGTTAAAGAATACTGGGGCCACCTACATGAGGGCCAGTACTACTATTTTCCATGACATAATACATAAAGAAATCGAAGTGTATGTAGATGATGTTATCATCAAGTCCAAGAAAGCCACTGACCACATGGAAGATTTGAGGAAGTTCTTGAACAGACTGAGAAGGTACAATCTGAAGTTGAATCCCTCCAAATGTGCATTTGGGATTCCCCCCGGAAAACTACTTGGGTTCATTGTGAGCCGCCGAGGAATCGAACTGGATTCGTCAAAAATCAAATCCATCCAAGAATTTCCACCACCAAAGAAAAAAAAAAGAGGTTATGAGTTTCTTGGGGAGACTCAACTACATCAACCGGTTCATAGCACAATCCACTATCATTTGTGAGCCAATCTATAAGATGTTGAAGAAGGACGCCGCTACCAAATGGACTGATGATTGTCAGAAAGCCTTCGATAGAATCAAGGATTACCTGTCAACACCGCCAGTTTTGGTTCCGCGAGAACCAGGTAAACCCCTAGTACTCTACCTTGCGGTATTCGATGGAGCGTTCGGTTGTGTTCTAGGGCAACATGATGAAACAGGGAGGAAGGAACAGGCCATCTATTATCTCAGCAAGAAGTTCACCCCGTACGAGGCCTGGTATTTTCTGTTGGAGTGCACCTGTTACGCTTTGACTTGGGTAGTTCAGAAGTCGAGGCACTATTTATGTGCCTATACCACGTATCTCATATCAAGAATGGATCCGTTGAAGTACATCTTTCAGAAGCCTATGCCCACTGGAAAGCTAGCCAAGTGGAAAATCCTGCTGAGTGAGTTCGACATTGTTTACGTGACTTAGAAGGAAATCAAAGGACAAGCAATGGCAGATCATCTGGCCAAAAATCTCGTGGACGGAGAATACGAGCCTCTAAAGACGTAATTTCGTGACAAAAAGGTATCTTTCATAGGAGAAGATATTGTAGAATCTTATGATAGTTGGAGAATGTTTTTCGACGGAGCAGCAAACTTCAAAGATGTTGGCATAGGAGCAGTCCTAGTATCAGAAACCGGCCAGCATTATCCGGTATCTGCCAAGCTCAAGTTCCTGTACACCAACAATATGGCCGAGTATGAAGCCTGCATCTTAGGGCTCAAGTTGGCCATTGATATGAATATTCAGGAATTGCTAGTCATCGGGGATTCGGACTTGCTTATACATCAGGTCCGAGAAGAATGGGCAACCAAGAACTCCAAGATACTCCCATATCTACATCATATACAGGAGTTGAGAAAGATATTCACAAAGACAAATTTTCAGCATGTCCCCAGAGTATAGAATGAGTTCGCCGATGCATTGGCTACCCTATTATCTATGATTCAACATCCTGATAAGAACTTCATAGATCCTATTCCGGTAAATATTCATGACCAACTAGCTTACTGTGCTCATGTTGAGAAAGAAGCAGACGGAAAACCTTGGTTTCATGATATCAAGGAATATTTGGCAACATGAGAGTATCCAGATCATGCGAACTCTACTCAGAAGCACACACTTCAAAGGTTATCCAATCACTTCTTTCACAATGGAGGAATCCTGTATAGAAGGACTCCAGATTTGGGGTTACTAAGGTGTGTCGACGCAAAGGAAGCATCTAAACTGTTAGAAGAAATCCATGCTGGAACTTGCGGTCCACATATGAACGGTTTTGTTTTAGCAAAGAAAATACTCCGAGCTGGTTATTTTTGGATGAATATGGAAACGGATTGCATCCAGTATGTCCGAAAGTGTCATCGCTGTCAGATACATGCAGACATGATAAAGGTGCCTCCAAACGAGCTTACTGCAACAAGCTCGCCATGGCCATTCGCCGCTTGGGGAATGGATGTTATCGGACCTATCGAGCCCGCCGCATCAAAAGAGCACAGGTTCATTCTAGTGGCAATCGATTATTTCACCAAATTGGTCTAAGCAACATCATACAAGGCAATGACTAAGAAAGTCATTGCAGATTTCGTCCACGACCACATTGTTTGTCGATTCAGGATTCCAAAATCTATCATCACTGATAATGGCTCCAACCTCAATAGTGACCTGATGAAAGCCATGTGTGAAACCTTCAAGATCAAACACAAGAATTCTACAGCCTACAGACCTCAGATGAACGGAGCCGTAGAGGCCGCCAACAAGAAGATACTAAGGAAAATGATAGAGAAGCATAAGTAGTGGCACGAGAAGCTATCATTTGATTTATTGGGGTACCGCACCACAGTTCGCACATCTACCGGGGAAACTCCCTATATGTTGGTTCATGGTACAGAGGCAATCATTCCCGCCGAGGTAGAAATTCCCTCCTTGAGAATCATACAGGAAGCAGAACTTGACGATGCATAATGGGTAAAGAGTCGCCACGAGCAGTTAGCTCTTATAGTTGGGAAAAGAATGAATACAGTTTGCCATGGTCAACTTTATCAGAACCGAATGTCCAGAGCCTTCAATAAAAGGGTCAAGTCGAGACAGTTCTCACCAGGGAAGCTGGTGTTAAAAAAGAATGTACCGCATCAGGATGAAGCCAAATGGTTGTTCTCTCCCAACTGGCAAGGTCCATACATGGTTCACCGGGTTTTAACAGGAGGAGCCCTCGTACTTGCAGAAATGGACGGAGAAGTTTGGCCAAAGTCGATCAATTTTGATGCAGTGAAGCGATCCTATGTGTAACCCTTATTATTTCCTTATATGATGTAATTTGAATTACGCCTGGCCTGATTCCCATTTAAGAAGGGATACATAGGAAGCCATATGGGTTCGGTCACAATTAAATAAAAATTTTATTTCCACCGCCATTGGAAACTGGGGCAGAATTTTGAGGAGGACCCTCAAATTTTCGATGTTTATTTCAGCCATTTATCGCACGCAGCCGTCAGAAGCACCAGCCTAGTACACTGGGGTAGAATTTTGAGGAGGACCCTCAAAATTCCAGAGCGAGAGAGGTTGCAATGTCTTGAACCGCGTCGCAATCATCGGTTCATCTAAAGAAAAATATTGTCAATTATGTATTTATGTTACATTTTTACTAAATTATGCGTGACTATTATCAAAATTTCTTTGTTTAGCTACGCTACCCCAATGATACGCGACATCACCGAAAGCAGAGCTAAGAAGGAAAAGCAAAGTCCATGGGGATACGAGTTAACCTTTCCCCTCTACATAACTCACAATTTTTCTTTGGATGCAGGCACTCAAGTCGCAAAAATCATCAGATATGCTTATATACTCACACTTATCAAAAATACAACTCTCTGAACCATCGCCTATCTACAATTTCTATCCGTATGTGATATCCTCAGCAGCCACAATATCGCACTCAGATATCATCAATAAAGCTATCAGCTAAGAGATTCTACTACTATTCCTTTTACTTTTCTACACTACATAAGGCTACTATTCTGCCTTCCGAGACTAAGCTCTGTCTCCATCTGCATTTCCGTGTATTGCATAAGGTTATCTTTCTACCTTCCGAGGTTAAGCTCTACCTCCATCTGCATTTTTCTGCATTGCATAAGGCTACCTTTCTGCCTTCCGAGACTAAGCTATGTCTCCATCTGCATTTCTTGCATTGCATAAGGCTACCTTTCTGCCTTCCGAGGTTAAGCTCTACCACAATATGCATTTCCTGCATTGCATAAGGCTACCTTTCTGCCTTCTGATGTTAAGCTCTACCTTCATCTGCATTTTCTGCATTGCATAAGGCTACCTTTCTGCCTTTCGAAGTTAAGCTCACCTCCATCTGCATTTCTCTGCATTGCATAAGGCTATCTTTTTGTCTTCCGAGGCTAAGCTCTATTTCCATCATGCATAAGGCTACTATTCTGTGCACTACTACAAAAAAGGTCTTTGGCGGCAATTCTTTAGCGGCAATAAGGCAATGGTCGCTAATAAATTCTTTAAGCTTAAATATTAGCGGCATATGACCATTAGACAGTAAAAGATATTCTTTTACTGGAAATAAAAAATAATAGCCACTAAAAATTACTAATTAAAATTAATCTTTTATTATTTTAATTTTTAACTATCTGCAAAAAGCGAAAATCTTTCCCACCAATTTTTTGATTACTTTTATGTTTCCCTCCCCAATTAAAAATAATAGAACTAAAAACCTTATGATTCCATCCCCAATTAGAAAACAATAGAACTAAAAAAGCTCACTCCCCAGTTGAATGAAAAAAATAAAACAATCCTAAATCGCTGCTGAGAAAATCTAATACGTTGTTGCATCAAGGCAGTGCGATTTACAGTGCGTCAACGGCGCGCGAGTGCGTCAATGGCAGCCCACATTTTTCCCAGGTAAATTCTCTTGTCTTCGATTTGCAATCGATTTATAGTAGAATCGATTTCCCACTTGAATCAACTTCGCGCCTGAAAAACCTAACTCGTTGCTGCGTCAATGACAATGCGATTTACAGTGTGTCAACGACAGTGCGAGTGCATCAATAGCAGCCCATCTTTTTCCCAGGTAAATTATGTTCTCTTTGATTTACAATCGATTTACAGTAGAATTGACTTACAATAAATTAACTTGTCTTCATTCAATCGATTTACAGTAGATTTTGTATTGATGTCGGTCGATTGATTTACAATAAACCAGTTCCTAACTCGCTGTTCAACAGCCTGACGTAATGCCCGTCCATCTTCTTCCCCTGTTAAGTTCTCTTTTTCACCTGTTAAATCAGTCGTTTGCAATCAATTTACAGTAGATTTTGGATTGATTCCTGTCGATTGATTTACAATAAATTCTGTGTACATTAATCTGGCAAAAGTCATGTTATTATTTGGATGTAGAAAATCCTGATTTAGGAAATTTGTTTCGGCCGCTTATCTCTAATATATAAATTTCTCATTTGTTATAAACAATTTTTTGGGAAAGAAACTCATATAATTGCCGAGGTTAATATTCTTGTACATGGGATTCGTGTTCTGTATGAAACAATGTATGTAGCATGGACAGAGACTTTCAGATCCTTTAATAAGCATGGATGCCCTTTGTTACTTTAAGAATGACTTTCAAATGGTGTAAAACAGGCCCTCGACTATTCATATATTAGATTGGACTTTGTTAAGTGCTAAGATAAAGAATATAAATGTATAGAGTACCGTTGAGATATCTTTCTGATTGCAAAATCTATCTACAGCTATTATGGTGGAAGCTCTTGAAATATCTGATGATGTATTTAAGAGTAATTGGAGGACCAAAACTTTATAAAGAATATCGTAGAATAATTCGAATCAATCACTAGAAGTATTTACATGCATCTAAGCAGTATACTGCAATTTTATACACATGAGTGGACACAAGTGCATATACTGCACTCTTAAACTTTAAAGTTTATCTCACATGCTGTCAGAGAATGTGTGTCAGAATATACAGCCATACTGACTGCAATGCCTGGACATAATGTTAGTGTTGTTCCTGAAAAGTTGGTTTTCAGAGACAAGTATGAAAAGCAAAGCTACAAGCTGAGGATAGAATGTCCAAAACTAATGAATGATTTTCTTGTTCATGGTTATTTAAGTTGGCCGGAAAAGGGAGGTAAATATGTGAGTAGGAGCCCAATTGTTGCCACCAATTCTAATGTTTGATCCTTTGTCAGGATAGCACTGATTACAGAATATTCCATGTTGCGACCAAAACACTCACGCAAGTGTACGCGATCGACAAGTAATATAGTAGTAATTAAAGTATCGTTCCCACGAGGAATTGTGATCAACTTATCGACTGATGTAGACTCAAACAATTATCAATTCAAGCTAAATTATCACAAAATATATAAAGAACCAATTTACAATTTACTTAGTAATTAAACAATAATTCAATACAAAATTACTACACCAATTACACAATATNGATCGACAAGTAATATAGTAGTAAGTAAAGTATCGTTCCCACGAGGAATTGTGATCAACTTATCGACTGATGTAGACTCAAACAATTATCAATTCAAGCTAAATTATCACAAAATATATAAAGAACCAATTTACAATTTACTTAGTAATTAAACAATAATTCAATACAAAATTACTACACCAATTTCACAATATATTTATAACAATTTGGATAAATATATTCCCGGGTCATGGACTTGCTAGAAATTATGCTACTATTTTAGCTTAAAATTGATTTATTGAATTATCCGGGTTATTGATTATAGGGTTAATAATATTTATAAGAATCTTTCGAGTTCTTATGCATCTATTCAAATTAAACTAGTACCTATATGTCTACGGCAGTAGGTAACTAGGAAGGTCGACAAGATAAAGGTCTGATATTCTATGTCTGTTTAATTTTTCACCTTAAAGATCTAGGCTGCTCACTTACTGTATATCACAATTGATTGAATGTCTTCTACTTTACGTTCTTATAGCTCATAACAGTATTAGCTAATTGAGCTGTCATGTTAGACGATTGTGTGCTTTTAGCTTGCCACTTGAAATCTTCCTTTCATATGACTTGCTGATGGTCAATTCTGGTGACAATAAAAATGCAGTTATGGGTAAATGCATCTTTATCTAAACTGAAGAAGCCATTCCAATCTTTTTTTATCTTTAAGTAATTATAAATCATGAGAGGGAGAAAAATTAGTCACATAATTGAAGCTATTACATGAATGCATTCCATTTGTTGGATAGATACTTACCAATGATGAAGAGGGAGGCCTTCCAAACACCAGTTGAATCCCTAAGAGGAACTCTTCCTTTATGATCGACAGAAGAATCATAAACCCATTTTCCCCATCTATTTCTACTGATTAACATTTGAGGCTAAGGAATAAGTGAATTCCATGAAGTAGAACTCAAAGTCCGGGACTATGAATTGGATCAGTATGGTGTTGTAAACAATGCTATTTATGCAAGTTATTGCCAACATTGTAAGGTTTTCTGTTTCAATCTGCACTCAAGTGATTTACCCCTAGCATATTAAACTCGTGCTATCATTCATCAAATAAAGATTATACCTGTGCTTTTTCTTTAATGAAAAAGGAAAATTCTGATCAGGGGAGAAAACCCTATAGGTAACTGATATTAGTGGAAATTAATGGAAAATGATCTTTTATATCTGTTCTATTTTACTTTTTGTGACCGTATAGTTAGCTCATCTGTTAGCCTTGATTATGGAATTTGTTTTCTCTCTGAATAACTTGAGATTATGTTATCTAAAATTTTGTGATGACCCGGCCGGTCGTCTTTGGAATTTATGCCCCGTTCCCCCATTAACTGCTTCCCCTAAGTTCGTTTCTGCTATTTTGGTTTGTCGGGACGTTCGGTGTGAGAATTCAGAGTGTTTTGGGACACTTAGTCCCGAAACGAGAGCGTGTTGGAAAGTGGTCCGTAATCGGAACAGTGTGAAGACAACCTCGGAATGTAAATCTGATGGTTCTGTTAGCTCCGTTAGGTGATTTCGGGGTTGGAAGCGTGTTCGGGATGTATTTTGAATGTCCGTAGCTCATTTAGGCTAGAAATGTCAAAAGTTAGAATTTGGAGGTTTCCGGTTCGATAGTGAAGTTTTGATCCGAGGGTCAGAACGGGATTACGGAAGTTGTTGTAGCAGTGTCATGTCATTTGGGACGTGCGTGCAAAGTTTCAGGTCAATTGGACGAGTGTTGATGAGGTTTTGGATATAAAGCGTGTTTTGGATGAACTTGAATGTTCTTAGGCTTGAATCTTTGATTTAATCGAGGTTTCGATGTTTTTTTAGGTGTCTTAAGAATTGGTACAAGTTTGGATGATATTATGAGTTATGTCCGCGGGTTTGGTTGAGGTCCCGGGGGCCTCGGGATGATTTTGGGTGGTTAACGGAGGAAAATTTGAAGTATTGCAGCAGCTGATATTTCTCTCTTCTGGTATTTCTCATCGCAGAAGCGTTTCCAGGCTTTTTCCCAGGAACCGCAGAAGCGGTCCCTTTTCCGCATAAGCGGCACCGCCAAAGCGGGATTGGCACTGCAAAAGCGGACTCAGGTCCCTTAAGTGAAAACCGCAGGAGCGGCCCTTGTTTCGCAGAAGCGGTACCTTATCCGCAAAAGCGGAAATGACTATTCAGAAATAGTAAAATCGAGGGTTAAGTTTCAAAAGTTGGAAAATCAATTGAGAGCTCGGGAGAAGGCGATTTTGAGTGTGTTTTGAAGAGAAGATCATTGGGTAGGGTTGCTTTGACACCTTCTAGTTATATATCATCATTATATATTTAATTACACCATTAAAATTCGAATTGAGGACCAAAAATTGGATAATTTGGGTAAAACTTCTTTGGCTAAACTATTGAGTTTTAAAGGGGCATTTGACCTCCGATTTGGGAGATTTTTATATGGTTAGACTCGTGAGAGTACGCGGTTTTTGAAAATGTGAAAATTATTCGACTCCGAGACATTGTCCTGAGGAGTGTTTTGGTCATTTTACCTATTTTCGCGCCTTAGCTTTAATTTTAATAGTGGAATTGGTTACTTGCAATGTTATTTACAATATGTAATTGGTTTGAATAGATTTGGGCCACTCGGAGTTGGATACTTGTGGCGAGGGCATCGTTTCTTAGTGATTTTTGTACCGGTTCGAGGTAAGTGGCTTGTTTAACTTTGTGTGGGGGACCTCTCCCCTTAGGATATCTTGATTGTTGTTTAAATGCCTTGTGCGCGAGGTGACGAGCGTGCACTTGTGCTAATTGTTGAAAATTCACCTTACTTGACTTATTTAGGCTGTGTTTCTTCACGTATTTAACTATTAAAAATGCAATTTCACTTGTTTTAGCTTAGGCAAAGCATGTTAGTAACTTATTTGCTCAATTTGACTAAATTGCAATGTCTGTCTTTTCGTGAAGCATGCTAGACTCTAGATTCTACCTGTTGTCTGTTCTTAGCTTCTTTTGTTCAATATTGAATTGTTGTGATGTGTTTATGATTGGGTCTACGGGACGGCATCCCTGGAGTTCCCTTGTACGTATTATGTTCTGAGATTGGAAGTGCGGGATACTAAGTGATCTCCGGCACAGGATTGATTAAATGGAGGATACTAGGAGATCCTCGGGATACTTGGAGATCCCTCGTGATTAAATGGAGGATACTAGGAAATCCTCGGGATACTTGGAGATCCCTTGTGTATATGATGAGGATACCAGGAGATCCTCGGGATACCAGGAGATCCCCTATGATAAATAGCCTGTAGTGATTATTCTTGTATTCCTAGATTGTATTTGCAGCCTGTTTCCGTTCTACTTATTATTTTTGCTAGATACTCGAGATTTACTGTACTCCTACTATCTATTCATTTCATATTTATTTTTATGTTTATCTCAGTAGGACCTCGACCTTCCTCGTCACTACCCAACCGAGGTTAGGCTTGGCGCTTACTGAGTACCACTGTGGTGTACTCACGCCTTTTCTGCGCATGTTTTTCATGTGCAGATCCAGGTACTTCTGAGCAGGCGTACCGCTAGTAGCTGTTAGGGAGCATATTGGAGACTTGAGGTATACATCTGCTACGTCCGCAGATCCGCAAAGTCTCCTTCTCATTATATCCATAGATATTAGCTGTCATTTCGATCCCTTTTGTGTTAGACTACTCTGGTGACTAGAGCAGTGTATCATTTCTTATGGCATGTGTTGCCCGTGGGTTTCCGGGTCTTGGTGGTTATTCAGTATTCTGTATTAAAGTGTATGTGCCAGGAGGCAAACCGATACATTTCCTTTATGTTATTCGGCATTCTACTATTGTTTTTCGTGAAAAGTGTTAATTTCGCAATGTGTTAGGCTTACCTAGTCGCGAAGACTAGGTACCGTTACGACCGGTTCACAATTGGTGAACTAGGGTCGTGACAAGTTGGTATCAGAGCTCTAGGTTCATAGGAGTCATGGAACACATGTCGGTTTATTATAATCTCACTGATCGGTACGGAGACGTATGTACTTATCTACGGGAGGCTATGTAACTGTTTAGGAAAAATCTTCACTTCATTGAATTCTTTGTCGTGCTATATTTTTGACATCGACTCTAAACTTATGTCTTCTATTCTCTCACAGATGGTGAGGACACGCACGACCCAGGACGATCAGGCACCCGCACCCCCTCCTGTAGCCGCTAGAGGTAGGGGCCGGGGCAGGGGTCGTGGACGTGCGCGGGGTGCAGCCAGAGCACCTGCGTGAGCCGCCACCGAGGTACCACCAGCGGATCTAGCCAAGACTCAGGCACCTAACACGCCCACAGTCACCACTACTCCAGCTGTTCAGGAGGTATTGGCATAGTTTATAAGCATGTATACTACGCTGTCACAGGCAGGGTTACTTCCCCTTCCTACAGCCACGTCCCAGGCTGGGGGAGGAGCCCAGACTCCCGCAACCCGCACTCCAGAGCAGAAGGTGCATATGGGACAAATTCCAGATATTATCCCTGTCCAGCCTGCGGTACCAGTTCAGCCCGAGTATGGGGCACCTGCTTCTGAGGATGAGCAGCGTAGACTGGAGAGGTTCAAGAAGTATGACCCTCCTATTTTCAGCGGACTAGCTACAGATGATGCTTTGGGGTTTCTGGAGGATTGTCACCGCATCTTTCGCACCATGGGTATTACTGCCTCGAGCGGGGTTTCTTTCGCAACTTTCTAGCTTCGGGGAGCCGCCTATGACTGGTGGCGCACCTTTGAGTTAGACAGTCCGGACGAGGATGCCTCCCTAACTTGGACTCAGTTTTCAGATATGTTTCAGAGGGAGTTTGTTCCCCACAACCTCCGAGATGCATGGTGTGCGGAGTTTGAGCATTTGCGCCAGGGCCCTATGACTGTCTCTGAGTATGCCATCCGTTATACTAGGTTGGCCAGGCATGCGCCGGCTTTGGTGGCTACTGTTCGTGAGAGGGTTCGCCAGTTTATTGAGGGTCTTATTCCTTCCATCAGGTTTGGCATGGCTCGAGAGTTGGAGATGGATATACCCTATCAGCAGGTAGTGAGCATAGCCAGGAGGATAGAGAGTATGCATGCCAGAGAGCGAGAGGAGAGAGAGGCCAAGAGGTCTCGAGAGTCGGCTCATTACTCTGGTACCCGCACATCAACATCAGGACGTCATGGTAGGGGCTATACGGGTCGCCCCGTTCACTCAGCTCTTCTTTCATCCAGCAGTACTCCAGCTCCTCCCAGATTTCAGGAGCCTTATTATGCACCTTCAATTTCAAGTGTGGCTCCTACGCGGGGTACTTCCAAAGGTCAGTCTAAAAGGGGTGGGTCCAGTCAGTCATAGCCACCACGCCCTCCCATAGCTTGTTATGAGTGCAGGGATACCCGCCATGTGGTGAGGGATTGCCCTAGGCTTGGAAGAAGTGCACCTCCACAGCATTCTTAGCAGCAGCATACACAGTGGGATTCTCAGGCCATCGTTCCAGCTCTAGCTGCCACCCCACCTACCCATCCAGCCAGGGGCGGAGATCGGGGAGATAAGGGTCACCCTCGAGGAAGGGGCCGGGCCAGATTTTATGCCATTCCTGATCGTGTTGAGGTTGTCGCCTCCGATTCTATTATCACAAGTATTATATTGGTTAGTCACAAAGAGGCATCAGTTCTATTCGATTCAGGCTCTACTTATTGTTACATATCATCTTATTTTGCTCCGCATTTGGGTACATCCCGAGAGACCTTGAGCTCTCCAGTTTATGTTTCTACTCCCGTGGGAGATTCCCTTGTTGTGGACCGCGTATATCTGTCATGTTTGGTTATTATTCGTGGTTTTGAGACCAGGGCAGATCTTCTATTACTTGATATGGTTTATTTCGATATTATCTTGGGCATGGACTGGTTGTCGCCCTAGTATGCTATTCTTGATTGTCACGCTAAAACCGTGATACTGGCTATGCCAGGTATTCCACATATTGAGTGGAGTGGTACTTTTGATCACACTCCCAGTAGAGTTATATCCTTTCTTAAAGCTCAGCGTATGGTTGAGAAGGGGTGCGCCGCGTATTTAGCTTATGTGAGAGATGTCAGTGCTGATACCTCTTCTGTTGACTCTGTCCCGGTAGTACGGAATTTCCCAGATGTGTTTACAGTTGATCTTTTGGGCATGCCGTCCGATCGGGACATTGATTTTGGTATTGATTTTTTGTCGGGCACTTAGCCCATATCCATTCCTCCTTACCGTATGGCTCCTCCTGAGTTGAAGGAGTTGAAGGATCAGTTACAAGAATTGCTTGATAAGGGTTTTATTCGACCCAGTGTTTCACCGTGGGGTGCTCCTGTCTTGTTCATAAAGAAAATGGTGGTTCTATGCGCATGTGTATCGATTATCGTCAGTTGAACAAGGTTACAGTGAAGAACCGATATCCTTTGCCTCGTATCGATGATCTATTTGACCAGCTTCAGGGCGCACAGGTGTTTTCTAAGATTGATTTGTGCTCAAGTTATAACCAGCTAAAGATTCAGGAGCCGGATATCCCGAAAACTGCTTTCAGGACTTGGTATGGTCATTACGAGTTCCTTGTCATGTTATTTGGGCTGACCAACGCCCCAGCAGCTTTTATGCATTTGATGCACAGTGTATTCAGGCTCTATCTCGACTCATTTGTCATTGTTTTCATAGATGATATTCTTGTATACTCCCGGAGTCGGGAAGATCATGAGTAGCACCTGAGGACAGTGCTTCAGACCCTGAGGGAAAAGACATTATATGCAAAGTTCTCAAAGTGTGAGTTTTGGTTGAGTTCTGTGGCATTCCTAGGCCACGTGGTATCGAGTGAGGGCATTCGGGTGGATCCGAAGAAGGTGGAGGTCGTGCAGAGTTGGCCCAGGCCCTCCTCAGCTACAGAGATCCGCAGTTTCCTTGGCTTGGCGGGGTATTACCATCGTTTTGTGGAGGGGTTCTCATCGATTGCAGCCCCTATGACTAGATTGGCCCAGAAGGGTGCTCCTTTTCAGTGGTCAGACGAGTGTGAGGCGAGCTTCCAAAAGCTCAAGAAGGCTTTGACTTCAGCCCCTATTCTGATTTTCCCTACTGGTTCGGGGTCCTATACAGTTTATTGTGATGCTTCACGAGTTGGACTTGGAGCGGTGTTGATGCAGGACGGTAAGGTGATTGCCTACGCGTCCAGACAGTTGAAGGTACATGAAAATAACTATCCTGTCCATGACCTTGAGTTAGCTGCTATTGTTCATGCCTTGAAGATCTGGCGTCATTATTTGTACGATGTGCCTTGTGAGATTTATACGGATCATCGGAGTTTACAGCACTTGTTCAAGAAAAAGGATCTGAACTTGCGCCAGAGGAGATGGTTGGAGCTACTGAAGGATTATGATATCACTATTCTTTATCACCCGGGCAAGGCCAATGTGGTAGCCGATGCCTTGAGTCACCGGACGGAGCACCAGAGACCGGGAGGGTTACTCCAGCAGATGGAGATTCCGGAGTGGAAATGGGAGAAGATCACTATGGATTTTGTAACTGGTCTCCCTCTAATGGCGAAGAAATTTGATTCTATTTGGGTTGTTATGGATCGGCTGACCAAGTCCGCTCATTTCATTCCAGTGTGTACTTCTTACTCAGCGGAGCGGTTAGCGGGGATTTATATCAGGGAGATTGTCCGTCTACATGGCATTCCAGTTTCTATCATCTCAGACGGGGGTTCAGTGTTTACATCACGGTTCTGGAGAGCCGTCCAGCACGAGTTAGGTACACGGGTGACTATGAGTACAGCTTTTCACCCTCGGACGGAAGGACAGTCCGAGCATACTATTCAGATTCTTGAGGATATGCTCCGTGCGTGTGTGATTGAGTTTAGAGGGTCTTGGGATCAGTTCTTGCCATTGGCTGAGTTTGCGTACAACAACAGTTATCAGTCCAGTATTCAGATGGCGTCGTATGAGGCCTTATATGGCAGGAGAGGCAGATCCCCGGTGGGTTGGTTCGAGCCGGGTGAGGCCAGGCTATTGGGCACTGATTTGGTCCAGGATGCGGTCGAGAAGGTTAAGGTGATTCAGGATAGACTCCGTACGGCCCAGTCCAGACAAAAGAGTTACGCGGACCGAAAGGTTCGTGATGTTTCATTTATGGTTGGTGAGTGGGTTTTGCTTCGGGTCTCACCTATGAAAGGCGTCATGAGGTTTGGAAAGAAAGGGAAGTTAAGCCCGAGGTTCATTAGCCCATTTGATATTTTGAAGCGTGTTGGGGAGGTTGATTATGAGCTTGCGTTACCTCCCAGTTTGGCCGAGGTTCATCCGGTATTTCATGTCTCGATGCTTCGGAGGTATCACGGTGACCCGTCTCATGTGTTATAGTTCACTTCAGTCCAGTTGGACAATGACTTGTCCTATGTTGAGGAACCAGTGGAAATATTAGACAGGCAGGTCCGAAAGCTCAGGTCAAAGGATATAGCTTCAGTAAAGGTTCAGTGGCGGGGTCAGCCGGCCAAGGAGGCGACTTGGGAGACCGAGCGAGATATGCGCAGCCGATACCCTCGTCTTTTTGCTACTTCAGGTATGTTCTCTATGCTCGTTCGAGGACGAATGAATGTTTAAGTGTAGGAGGATGTGACGACCCGGTCAGTCGTCTTTGGAATTTATGCCCCGTTCCCCCATTAACTGCTTCCCACTAAGTTCATTTCTGCTATTTTGGTTTGTCAGAACGTTCGGTGTGAGAATTCGGAGTGTTTTGGGACACTTAGTCCCTAAACGAGAGCTTAAGTGTTGGAAAGTGGTCCGTAACCGGAACAGTGTGAAGACGACCTCGGAATGGAAATTCGATGGTTCCGTTAGCTCTGTTAGGTGATTTCGGGGTCGGGAGCGTGTTCGGGATGTATTTTGGATGTCCGTAGCTCATTTAGGCTAGAAATGTCAAAAGTTAGAATTTGGAGGTTTCTGGTCCGATAGTGAAGTTATGATCCGATGGTCGGAACGGGATTCCGGAAGTTGTTGTAGCACCGTCATGTCATTTGGGACGTGCGTGCAAAGTTTCAGGTCAATCGGACGAGTGTTGATGAGGTTTTGGATCGAAAGCGTGTTTTGGATGAACTTGAATGTTCTTAGGCTTGAATCTTTGATTTAATCGAGGTTTCGGTGTTTTTTTAGGTGTCTTAAGAATTGGTACAAGTTTGGATGATGTTATTAGTTATGTCCGTGGGTTTGGTTGAGGTCTCGGGGGCCTCGGGATGATTTCGGGTGGTTAACGGAGGAAAATTTGATGTATTGCAGCAGTTGATATTTCTCTCTGGTATTTTCACTTTTGCGGCTTGGAACCCGCAGAAACTGCTTTCTCATCGCATAAGCGTTTCCAGGCTTTTTCCCAGGAACCGCAGAAGCGGTCCCTTTTTTCGCATAAGCGGCACCGCAGAAGCGGGATTGGCACCGCAAAAGCGGACTCAGGTCCCTTAAGTGAAAACCGCAGGAGCAGCCCTTGTTTCACAGAAGCGAGACCGCAGAAGCGGTCCCTTATCCGCAAAAGCGGAAATGACTGTTCAGAAATAGTAAAATCGAGGGTTAAGTTTCAAAAGTTGGAAAATCAATTGAGAGCTTGGGAGATGGCGATTTTGAGTGGGTTTTGAAGAGAAGATCATTGGGTAACGTTGCTTTGACCCCTTCTAGTTATATATCATCATTATTTAGTTAATTATACCATTAAAATTCGAATTGAGGACCAAAAATTGGATAATTTGGGTAAACCTTTTTTGGCTAAACTATTGAGTTTTGAAGGGGCATTTGACCTCTGATTTGGGAGATTTTTATATGGTTAGACTCATGAGAGTACGAGATTTTTGAAAATGTGAAAATTATTCGATTCCGAGACGTTGTCCTGAGGGGCGTTTTGGTCATTTTACCTATTTTCGCGTCTTAGCTTTAATTTTAATAGTGGAATTGGTTACTTGCGATGTTATTTACAATATGTAATTAGTTTGAATAATTACATATCTTGACTGCTGTTTAAATGCCTTGTGCGCGAGGTGACGAGCGTGTACTTGTACTAATTGTTTAAAATTCACCTTACTTGACTTATTTAGGCTGTGTTTCTTCATGTATTTAACTGTTAAAAATGCAATTTCACTTGTTTTAGCTTAGGGAAAGCATGTTAGTAACTTATTTGCTCTATTTGACTAAATTGCAATATCTGCCTTTTCGTGAAGCATGCTAGACTCTAGATTCTACCTGTTGTCTGTTCTTAGCTTCTTTTGTTCAATATTGAATTGATGTGATGTGTTTACGATTGGGTCTACCGGACGGCATCCCGGCAGCTCCCCTGTACGTATTATGTTCTGAGATTGGAAGTGCGGGATACTAAGAGATCTCCGGCACAGGATTGATTAAATGTAGGATATTAGGAGATTCTCGGGATACTTGGAGATCCCTTGTGTATATGATGAGGTTACCAGGAGATCCTCGGGATACCAGGAGAACCCCGATGATAAATAGCCTGTAGTGATTGTTCTTGTATTAGTAGATTGTATTTGTAGCCTGTTTCCGTTCTACTTATTATTTTTGATAGATACTCGAGATTTACTGTACTCCTACTGTCTATTCATTTCATATTTATTTTTATGTTTATCTCAGTAGGGCCTCGACCTTCATCTCACTACCCAATCGAGGTTAGGCTTGACACTTACTGAGTACCGCTGTGGTGTACTCACGCCTCTTCTGCGCATGTTTTTCATGTGCAGATCCAGGTACTTCTGAGCAGGCGTGCCGCCAGTAGCTTTCAGGGAGCATATTGGAGACTTGAGGTATACATCTGCTACGTCCGCAGATCCGCAAAGTCTCCTTCTCATTCTATCCATAGATATTAGCTGTCATTTTGATCCCTTTTGTATTAGACTACTCTGGTGACTAGAGCAGTGTATGATTTCTTATGGCCTGTGTTGCCCGTGGGTTTCCGGGTCTTGGTGGTTATTCAGTATTCTGTATTAAAGTGTATGTGCCAGGCGGCAAACCTATACATTTCCTTTATGTTATTCGGCATTCTACTATTGTTTTTCGTGAAAAGTGTTAATTCCGCAATGTGTTAGGCATACCTAGTTGTGAAGACTAGGTGCCTTCATGACAGGTTCACAATTGGTGAACTAGGGTCGTGACAAATTTGAATAATGAATATGATTTGCTTTGCTCCGCTAATTTGTAAAATATTGTTGAATCCCAAAATCGAGGGGAATTTTGTGGTTAATAACTGTTTGAATATTATTTTCTACACATACTGTACTTAAGGATAACAGCCTATATGCACTTCGTATGTGAACTTAGAAAAACCGTCTCTATAAGCTTTTGATTGCCGCAACTGTTATTTTGCCAGAAATTTGCTCAGCTGTAAATTATATCTCATTTCGAAAAGGAGGTCAGTTTAATTAATCTAATGATATGTCTATTCAAAATGTTGTGACGTAATTGTCATGGATCTTTACTTATGATGCTTAACCAAGGTTTATCACAAATTCAAGTCTTTCCAATGTAATAACTATTATGCGTGCTGTGTTTGTACTGATTGAGAATCTTACTTAACCAATATAAATTTTATGGTTTTACCATAAATTTATATCACACGTTGCTAGTTCCTCCACTGTTGTTGGTTACTCTTTGCTTTGCTCCACTAACTCTTTTCCTTTTCGTGAGAAAATTAACGCGGGAAAACAGGAAGTGCAAACTCAAATTTTTTAATCAAAGTATTTTGTCAAGATCATTACTTCTAAGATTTAGCATAACTCTTTATCTTTGTCAAAATTATTACTTTAAAGGATTTAAACTATAGCTCAATAAGAAAACTGATTTAAACTAACTGCTGAAGAGAGTTTCTTATGGTAAATTCTAATAATTGGGGCTAGTGTATGTAATCACCCATGACAAGAATGGATTGCGCTAGTGGTGAGCACCCTCCACTTCCAACCAAGAGGTTATGAGTTCGAGTCATCCCAAGAGCAAGGTGGGGAGTTCTTGGAGGGAGGGATGTCGAGGGTCTGTCGGAAACAGACTCTCTACCCCGGGGTAGGGGTAAGGTCTGCGTACACACTATCCTTCCCGGACACCACTGGTGGGATTATACTGGGTTGTTATTGTTGCTGTAACATTTGAGGCTAAGTCATTATTACTGGATAAGTGGAGAAGTGATCCAGCTTCAATTAAAGAAGAGATATTTGTTGAAGTTTGGCAAAATGCCAAAGTCCCACATTGGTTGGGAGTTAAGTTTGGGGG